CCACAGGGAGCACGAGGCAGGGGTAGGCCACGGGAAACATGGAGGAGATGCGTGGAAAGGGACATGAGAGAAATGAAGCTCACTTGGAACGAGCTTGGAAGGATGGCCCAGGACAGAGATAAATGGAAGGAGCTTGTATGTGGCCTATACCCTGCCAGGAGTGAAAGGCATTGACGATGATGATGATGAAATACAATTTCCAAAGACGAAGTAAATAATTCAGATCTGAGAGAAAAGTGTGGCGATATCATTAGAAAGAAAGGTTAACTGAAAACAAATTCTCTCACTTGCAAAATTTTCTAGTTTCCAATTCTGTCTTGTACCAATCAAAAAGAAGAGCCCACTTCTATGATTATGATCTCTATTCAAATGAACAAAACCAAACACTGTTTCTTTCAATAGAAGTTGAACAAGAGAAAATATTTAACATTTAAACTTCTTCTTGCAATAATTAATTTGACTTCAATTTAAACACGAGGAACTGAACACTACAATAGCTTCACCGGGGCAAGATAAATACATTTCCCGTTTCATCTGTTCTTCTATGAATTTGAATATTACATTATTTGAGTAAGAGATTCAAATTTATTTGGGTAAGCCTTGAACAAAACTGAAGGAACCCTGAATCCTGGATGAGTCCCCCCCACCTATCCCAACTTATTAGGCAAAAGATAAAAGATCTCAGCGATAACAGAGGAGAGACTCCAAAGCATAGGTAAATAAAGAAGAGATAACAGAATAAACCAGGTGGACGGAGGAGAAAAAGAGAATCGGAGTAAGATGAATTGAGAAAGTGAAGTCAATGTGTTTGGCCCCCATTGACACGAAATGGATATTCATAAATGCTGGTTGCTTTGACCCAACATGGGGCACATGTACAGGAGATGCGTCTCAACATGAAGACACAGATGCTCTATTATACGACAACATTCCAACAAGTGAATCATCGTCACATACTCTGCTTGCAATATAAAGAGCCTAGGTTTAACATTATAACAGTTTAAAAGGAGACTAGATCTTTATCCAGACAGGGAAAAAATTACATTAAATAAAAAAAGAGTATTCAGCCCAAGGATTAATATGATCTGTTTGGTTCGATCTTCTAAAATCTCATCAAGATTGACTCATTATTTTTCATAGACAAAAGGTTTATCAACCACCGCACAAGTGTGTCAGTCTAAAACATCATTAGAAAGAGTAATGTGCCCACTTTTGTGTGAGTCTTCAAGTTCTAAATTAAAAAATTATTGTATGAGAATTCCTTTCACTCTATTTCAGCAACTTTTATAAAATTATACAATGTCTACTTTACCTTGCAAACTCATTGGTAATTTTGCACCAAGAAACAGAAAACAGTACCACTGCAGTTTCCTTTCCAAAAAAAAAAAGAATAAAAACTAATACAAATGTGAAGCTGCAGCATGTGGATTTGTTGAAGGATGATATTAATGTAAATTTTAAGGTGAAGATAATGAATTCAAATTTAGGCTAATCAAACCCTCAAAACCGCAATCTGTGTCTTGTGTGGGACACCAAAAATGATCACACTAGTAATTTAAACTATAATGTGTATAGAGTATTGTATGTGAAGATTGCAAAAAGTGAATCATGTATATGTGGGCTCGTCAACAGATACAATGTACATGTATACAGGGTGATTAAAAAAGAATACGCCAAAATCATCACACATTATTTCACACCCCCCTCCCCCTAAAAAAACCAAAACAACAACAACAACAAACAAACAGACAAACAAACAATAGAAAACTACAGCTTGAACACATGTGTTGTGCATGCCTTCAAGTTTTTATTTCATGCTTTACAAGACTTAGTGAAGTGCTCAATGAGGCCACCACCAGTAGCACAGTCAAAATCAAGCCGAGAGAATTCCTGCCAAAGCGCCTCAGGATGTCTCCGCCCACAGTGTTGATTGTAGCTCTTATTTGATCTTTCATGTCACTGATATTTGCTGGAAGGAGTGGAAATAAAGTTTGTCTTTAACATATCCACACAAGAAGTGGTTATTCACTTTACTGGACACTGGACGCAGAATCGAATGACTTTTTCAACAAGATGGAACACTGCCCCATTGGCATCTCAGGGTTCAAGCTCATCTGAATGAAGAAAGCGTGCCTCAGCAGTGGATATGTAAGAGAGGTGCTAAAGACCTTGTTCTCTGCGGCTGGCCTGCCAGATCCTTGATCCTCACTGTGTGTGACTTTTTTGTGAGGGTATGTTAAAGACAAAGTTTATGTTCCACCACTTCCACTTCCAGCAAATATCGATGGCATGAAAGATCGAATAACAGCTACAATTAAAAAGGTGGCCTGAGACATTCCGAGGCGCGTTTGGGAGGAATTCTTATATCAGCTTGATGCTGTCCGTGCTGCCGGTGGTGGCCACTTTGAACACATGTAAAACATGAAATAAAAACTTGAAGGTATGTACAACACATAGATCTACCTGTCCAAGCTAGAGGTATATCTCACTTTCCGTTTTCGGAATATCGCATGATGATTTCGGCATATTCTTTTTGAATCACCTTGTACTATAAAGACATTATTTCTTCTGTCCCTAACATACATTGAAAAGACGGTTTCCTTGGCCCACAATACCCTTAGAACCTATAATACGATTAAATACATGTAATATATA